CTCCATCTCCTTTCCAAGCTTTGACCACAGAAGTTGGCTGCACTCTGGGCCCTGGAGATCAAAGACCGCAAGCTCGGGTCACGCCTGAGTCACTGGCTTGATGAGCTCCTCACCCCGCTGCTCCCCACAGATGGGTTAATTTCAGTCCCATCAGGAGGCCCCGGAAGCCCTCTAGCCTGCCCCCATCCTTTGGCATCTCCCTGGGTTGCTGGCTCCCCCCTCATTGACCCCCCCCATCCTGCGGCCCCTTGGGTGCAACCATTAAATAAACTGTGCTCCCCCCAGGGGGCCACTGAGAAGTTCTTGCAGTCTAACCAGTGCCTCCTGCTGCATCCTTCTTTGGTGGCAGGTGACAGGTGCCCTGGGCTCTCCCTGGACTCCTGGACTTCCATCACATTCCCTCCCCCAGGTATGACCCTGACCATCAGCACCCTCCCCCAGACCACCAGGAAAGGCAAGGCTGTCTGGGTAGAGAATTAGGGGGCTTAGCTCAGATCCCTGCCCTCAAAGAAGACAAAGATTCCATCTGTATCTCTGGGTGGGTTAATTAGCTCGGGGCTTGAGTTTCTTTCCTCTCCCCACATAAACAACTCCTTCCCCCAGAGCCCCTTCTGAACAAACCTGTTTTCTGGAGCTGCTGCTGCCAGCCCCTCCCCAGACCTGCTTTGTGGTCTGGGTATTGGCTGCTCCCAAGATTACAGGTTATTGTCTGGTGGAGACAGGATGCTGAGGGGGTGGGGGCCAGCACAGACTGGGTTTGGAATGCGAGACTGGATCCAGCTGTGGGTTGGCCGGCTCCTCTTCCCCCTCCGCCCCCCTGCCCTGCCACCAGGTGCTCAGGTGAGTCGAGAGCCACCTTTCAGCAAGAGGAGGGGGAGGAAGGAGCAAAAGGAGAGAAGGGACTAGGGAGGGGTGTGTGGGCCAGGGAGGGGTGTCACAGATTCTGGTTGATCAGGTGAACGACCTCCCTTCCAGACATGGTCCAAGCAGTACATCCAAAGGGGCTCCACTGGTCCCCCCACCCCACGGTCAGTGCTCTGTGACAAAGTGGTAACCCTCCACTAAGCCTCAGTTTCCTCCTTCAGCAGAAGCAGATAAATGTCCGGAAGGGAATGAATACAGCTGGGCAGAGTGTGGGGGCTCCTACAGCATCCCTGAAGCAGCAGGGATAGAACCTTCCAGCAGGCAAGGTGGCCTCGGAACCTTTGTCCCTCAGGTCTCTGTGGACAAGGTCAACCCTTCACTTCAGTGGAAAAGGTGCTAGGCAGGGTCCCTCTGGGAGCAGGAGAGGGGGATGGTGAGTGGACACCCGCTGACACCCTCTCCCATATCTGAGTTCTCCCCTCGCCCCACACTTCCACCCTTGGGGAAGGACATACTCTGCTCTCGCCACCTGCAGTTGGGATGGGGGCAACCAAGGAATGGGCAGCTCCTTCCTGGCAAGGGGGGCCAGGGCCCAGTAATGATGCAGCTTTCCAGCCAGGACCAGGAGTCCCTCCCTCGTGCCCTCCCCTTCTGTCCCTCACATCCCCCTTCCCTCTGTCACTCTGGCTGGGTTTCATTTGCTCCTGCTAGGCGCTCAGCTGCGGTGCCTCCAAAGGCTGAGAATGCTCTTGGGTGAGTGCTGAGGATGGCTGGCCTGGGGAGTGGGAACAGGGGTTAGAAGCTTAGAGGCCAGGGTTTCCCCACCCTCCTCAGCCCTATCCTTTCCCTGCTACTTCTGGTCCCCCAAAGTTGTCTGCCTGAGACACCGGAGCCAGTTAGGCTCAGGGCTGGGCTGGTAGCCCCCCTCTGGTTAAGAATAAGGTTGGAGGGAGGGGACAGGGACAGGGAGGGGACAGGGAGAGCTGGAGATACCCTGCAGGACTTCAGGTCTCTGCACATCTGGACAAATGCAGTCGGGGAGCCTGGGTCAAAGGTTTTTTGTATGGAATCACACTTTCAATGCCTCTAAGGGGATAGGGGAGGGGGACAGATTGGAGGGGGCGAAAGAGGGAGCTGTAACTGCTTCAGAGGAGGAGACAGCCCTGCAGACAGGGAGGCTGGGGCTGGTTTTGGGGGCTGCTACTGGACAGCCTGTCCCAGCACTGGGATCGACTGCCCTCCCCATCTATGATCTCCCCATTTGCCTTCCCACACTGGGGTTGCCTGGACATTGTCCAGGGAGACAGCCATCACCCCTCCAGGGAAAGGGCCCCGAGACAGTGGGGCCGGGGGCAGCATCTCTGTGCCTGGGCTTTGGGATCTTACTCCAGCTTGAGGGGCTGGGCATTACACATCCAGAGCCCCAGAGCCCCAGAGGGTGGGAGAACGTGGGAAGGAACGCCGGGCCATGATGAGAATCCTACCAGGCAATGTGCAGTAGATCTTGGTCCTTCTCCCACCCTTGCCTTTGGCTCTCTCTCCCCTAGATTCCCATTTTTCTTTGCAGATTTGATTTGATGGAAACAGCAACATTATAATTTGCTATGTGTGTGTGGGGGGGGCACATGTGTGTGCCTCTGGGAGGACCCTGTCATGTGCCCTGTAACTTGGGGTGGGGGTGAGAGGAGTGGGAGACATGTCGTGTTCCGCTATATGATCTGACGTCAGAAGCATGTGATTCATAAGAGTGTTTGCACCCACCTGTCTCTGGGCAAATGTATCTGTCTAGGAACCCATGTGTATGCATGTTTGTGTGCTTTGTACACAGATATACAGATGCATCTGTAGGGGTCTGTGTATCTGCCCCTCTGGGTGTGCTTATGTACAAGTATGTCTTTGTTGACTGTGTCTGTGTCTACGTGCATGCTCCCTTGTGGCCTCCGTGGGTAAGTTTCTCTGCATGGGCACCACCTCCATGCCCGCACACTCCAGGGTATAGGGTGTGCCGATGGAAGACTTGGTCTCGCTGTGGGGAGATGTATATTTGTGCCTTGCTGTCTATGCCTACTGCTCTGTGTGGGTGCCTGTGGTCCTCAGGGAGTGTGTCCCTGTGTGTGTGTGTGTGTGTGTGTGTGTGTGTGTGTGTCTTTTCTAGTTATGGCACAACAGCAGGATGTGGTTTCCCTAGATCCTCTCTGTTGGGTGGCAGCCAGGCTGATGTTATTTCATAAGACACCTGCTCTGTGCCCCTACCCCAGCCTTTGGTGGAGCCCTGGGGCAGCCTCCATTCCTCCATGTCAGCCTGGTTTGTTCCATCTGTGACCAGAGCCAGCAATCCACCCTCCTAAGGCAGCTGTCCAGTGATCTGTAGCTCCTGGCTGTGGACCCCTGGCCAGGGTTGGGGAGGGACTGCTCTGAAACACTTAGCCAGGGTATATGTTCTGCTGCAAAATGCTATCAGAGAAGAGCCTCCATTCCAATGTTTTTTGGGGTGCAGAGTCTAGACCTGTCAGCCATGTAGTGTGCCATCCTGGGGCAGGTGTGGCGACAGTGGCAGCTCCCTTCATTTGAGTGTAGCCAGGAGCCAGGCAGCCACACGTGTGTGTCCATGTGCCATGGCTCATGCTCCATCCCAGAGGCCCTGGAGGACAGGGATAATAATGGTGACTGTCAGAGGCAGACAGGGGGTGGTGGAGCAGCGCTGTATGAAGGGTACTGGGGAACAGTGCCCGGTAGCTACTGGAGGGGCCCAGGCCTTGATGCAACTTGTACCCTAGCCATTGTGCAGGAGAGCAATTATGGGGGGGGCGGGCTGGAAGGCACTTCTGGGGGACTCTGCTGACTGGAAGAAGAGATTGAGTTGCCAAGTTCATTGGCACCTCCTTGATCAACACCCCTCCTCAGTTGCCTCCACACCCAGCCCCTCCTGTGGTCCCCAGACCTATTCCTGTTCTGCCCTTCCTCCTTCCCTCATCACAGATGGGCAGCTCCTAGCTAAGCATCCACTGCACAGCTCAATATAATTGGAGCTCTGTCCCAGACTTCTGGGAGGGTTGGGGTACCACAACCCCTTATTCTTCCTGCAGGGAACCCACCCCTCTACCCCTTTCACATCTGGAGGACCCCAGACAGAAGAGGGCACCCTGTGCACCTGAGAACTCTAGGAAGAGGTCACTCCGACCTCCTGACCTCCCTCTTTTCCCCACTAATGTCTTCCCCTTACAAGGATCTCATTAGAAACAGCTTCCCATTGAGCCCAGACACCTCCTGCGGGATCCCTGGGGAGATAAAGGCCCAAATCCCCAGGTTTCCCTGTGAGCAACGCCTTCCAACATTAGGCATTCTCCCCCTTCTCCCTGCCATGCCTGTTTTGTCTGGAGCTTTTGGAACTGCGGTGACCTTTCAGGTTACTGACCCATTGATGGAACCTTGCTTTGTCATCTCCAGTCCTAGAACGCCCTTCCCCATGTAAATTTCGCTTCTTCTTGTAAAACTTGACTTTTCTGCTCTGAAACCTAATGGACTCTCCTTGCAGACCTTCAGTTTTATCGCCTGCTTCTCTGATCCTAGAACCCTCCCCGCTCCCCGGTACTGGTAATTGAACCCAGGGCGCACTACCACTGAGCTATATGCCCAGCCTTTTTTATTTTGAGACAGGGTGTCACTACATTCCTGAGGTTCGATCGCCTCAAATTTGCGATCCTCCTGTCTCAGCTTCCCTAGTTGCTGGGATTACAGGTGGGATTACACCACCGCCGGTGGATCCCAGAGCTCTTGGTCCCAAACTTTGAGCACGGGGCTGGCTGCAGCCGGCACAGCTTTTCCTGTGTCTTGCCCGTGAGCTCCTCTAGAAACCGACGGGTGGACGCGATGACTGAACGGACTCCTGTCCCTCCGTCTTCTTGCGGTCTGACCTCAGTAGCTCCTGCTGCAGCGCGCGTAGTGGGAGGAGGCTGAGGCGAAGCTGAGCGCGCTGGCTGGGAGCTGCGGCAGGTGGGCGCAGCCAGGTGAGCCCGGGGGGAGCCGCCTCCCTGCTCGCATTCCAGGCCGCGCCGGCTGCTGGCGCCTCTTCACCCCGATTACCGCTAGTGGCTGCTGTCGCTCAGTGGAGCCCAAGGAGACCACGGCCAGAGCGTCCACCGCCCAAGATGGTGGCTCCCGTGTCTCTGTGAGTGTGTGCGGTCGGCGCAGGGGTGCTGGGCCGGCGCCCCCTCCCGGAGCTTCCAGGCAGGGGGCGGACCAGCCGGGACTGGGGGCCTTGTGGCGGGCGGGGGGGGGGGGGGGGGGCAGGTGGAAGCAGGGTCTCTGGGGACCCAACCGAGGCATTCCCCAGAGGAAGTCCCCCAGCGCTTTGCATCCCATAGGATGGGTGAGGCGTGCAAGGGAGCCTCATCTCATCTGGTCCCTACTCTGCTCAAAGTGTGGACTTCACTTGGTGGGGTCCCATGAAAGGGTCCAGAGGAGCCCGAGGAGGAAGCCAGGGACCTCCATCCTGGGGGCACATCAGTTTGGGGTTTGAGGCTTACTGTGTCTGGGGGAGCAGACCAACACAACTGCCCGAAGGGAAGCTCGGGCTGGTTCCCATCTACCCTGCCCGGTGTGGAGATGCAGGATCTGGGACCACACAAGGACTCCCACCTGGTCAGCCTTACTCACAACTGGACGCACACAGTAATGTTTTATTTACACTCTACCCCTGGTAGCTTGGTTCCCTCAGACCTGAGGTGGGGGGTAATGTCAATGGATTTTTTTTTTTAATATGTTTTTAGAGCAGCTGGGCCCTATAGAACTTTCTGGCATGATGTAAATGTTCCCTCTACCTGTGCCGTTTAGTCCAATAGTCACTAGCCACATGTGGCTACTAAGTGCCTGAAATATGGCTAGTGTCAACTGAATTTAAATTTTTGTATTTAATTCCAATTAAACAGCCACATGTGACTAAGTGGCCACTGTACTGGGAAGTGCAGTTTTAGAATCTCCACGTTCCAGGCTTCCAGCTGCCTGCTCTTTGGTTCTTTCATCAAAACATCCTAGATCATATCATTTATCCCTCTGCAGAACAGGATGGGATAGCTGGCTTCCAAGTACATAGAAAGGATCTGAGAAACTTCCAGAAGGTCATAGTGGTCCTGCACCCCTCCCCCATTCTAAGATCCTTTGGGCATTGGGCTGGGCAAGGTCATAGAATCACTGCCTCTTAGGAGGAAAGCATATCAAAAGCAGCTATTTTAACCACACAGCAGGGGTCCACGGTCCCACTGCACTGCTCTGTCTGAAGCTTCCTCTTCCTTATTCTTTCACCCCCTCAAATTTTGTGGCATGCCTGCTGGGCATGGCACTGTTCACAAGAAGTAGTTAGCTACCTTTCCAGCCCACGAGGAGTGTCTGTGAGAGAAGGGAGGGGGCCGAGGAGGAAAGGAAGGGATGTGAAGCCACAGAACTATGCAAAAGTAAGCAGAGCTTTGTAAACTACAGGAAGCCAGGTAAAATGTCATAGGAAGGGTAGGAACATTTGGGCATGTGTGCAAAGGCCCTGGGGATGAGTGGCCACCAGTGGGGTCAGCAATGCTGGGCATTAACAGACTGCAAAGAAATTTGGGCACTTGACCTCAGAGCAGCAGGCAGCCTTGGAGAGATTTAAGGTGTATGTTTGTTTGTTTGGTGGTGGTACTAGGGACTGAACCCAGGGGGACTCTATGGCTGAGCTCTATCCCCAGCCCTTTTCATTTTTTGAGACAGGGTTTCACCAAGTTGCTACAGCTACAGCTGGCTTTGAAGTTGCAGTACTCCTGCCTCATCCTCCCTAGTTGCTAGAATTACAGGTGTGCACCACCACATTTGGCCTAAGCAATAAGTTTTTAAAAGTCCCCCTGGGCTGGGCATGGGTGGTGCTTGCCTGTCATCCCAGAGACTCTGGAGGCTGACGGAGGAGCAAGTTCAAGGCCTGCCTCAGCAAGTCAGCAAGGCCTTAAGCAACTTAGCAAGACCCTGTCTCAAAATAAAAAGGGTTGAGGATGTGTCTCAGTGGTTAAGTGACCCTGAGTTTGATCCCTGGTACCAAAGGGGGGGAAAAAAGTCCCCTTGGTCAGAGAAGAATAAGGATGGAAACCCAGAATGCTCTCAGACAGTGACTGTATTAGTCCAGGCAGGAGATGAAGGTGGGCTGAACAAGACCAACAGGCAATAGCATGGAGAGAAGGCATGCAATTGAGGTAGATTTTGGAGGTGGGATCTACAGATCCTGTTGGTGGACCAGGCCCTGGACTGGGAGAGAGGTAGGGTCAGAACTGCAGGTTTCTGGCCAGAGCACCTGGAAAGGAAAAGGGGCTATTTTCTGAGATGAAAATGACTGAAACAGGGGCATATTTGTGAAGATCAATCAAGAGTTCTATGTAGATAAGCCAAGAAGGCAGCTAGAGGGAGGGGATTGGGGACCAGGCTGGGGCTGTATATTTCAGAGTGGTCCACAGAGGTGGTTCTAAAACCTTTAGATAGTTTGAGCTTGGGAAGAGGATGAAGAAATGAACTCCAGAGGCCAAGGAGTGGCTCATAGTGGGAAGGGAAACCAGGGGATGTGGGGTCTTGGAAGGCAAGTGGTGGCACAGAGCTGTAATCCCAATGAGTCAGGAGGCTGAGGCCGAAAGATCACAGGTTTGAGGCCAGCCTCAGCAACTTGTGAGACCCTGTCTCAAAAAAGGGCTGGAGATGTAGCTCAGTGGTACAGTTCCCCTGATTTCAATCTCAGTACAAAAGAAGAAGAATATTAGAATGTTTCAAGGAGGGCATAGTGAGAAGCACCAAATGCCACTCAGAGTACAGGGGAAGAAGACCAGGGAGTTCTCCTGCACCTGGTGACACAGAGTGGGCTGCCCCTGGAATTCTGCTCCTCTGCTCTTGTTTGACCTACTCACCACATGTATTCCCCATGTGCCAGTTGGCGTGCAGGACTGGGCACACAGCAAATGGACAAGATGGTCATTTAGTGATGTCTCAGAGCTTAGGTTCTTCTAATCAGCAGTTTCAGACACAGGTAGCTCTTCCATGAAACCATAACAAATCCTTTTGTTCTTTTATGTGTTTTTTTGTTTTTGAGTCAGGGGTCTTGCTAGGTTGCCTACGCTGGCCTCCAACTCAAGGTCCTTCTGCCTCTGCCTCCTGAGTACCTGGGATCACAGTCTTGCGCCGCTACACCCAACTCTGTAGTTGTTTTAAGCCATCAGCTTTTACTGTGAGGCATCTGCATCTAAGTACTTAGAGATTCAAAAATGAACAAACTTGGTCTTGACTTTCTAGGAACCTGAGTGCAGACATGCGTGGAGAATCCCTGCATTTACCATAGGGAACTTCAGGAGACTAGAAGACAGGTGCCAGCCCAGCTGGGGGCATCAGGAAGACAAGGGGATGCCTGGGCTGCTTTCAAAGCATGAGTGGCAACTGGCCAGGAAAAGGAGGCTCAAGGATAGACAGGGACAAAAGTACCAGCTCTGCATATGTGGAGAATGGCTTTTTTGGAATTGGCTTTGCAAATGGGAACTTCTAGGTGGCTCTAGAGGTATCCAGAGGCTGTGGAGGGTCTTGTTGGCTCCTGGTGAGGTGCACAGACTTAGGCAATGGGGTACCACCGAAGAAGTAGAAGCAAGGGAGTGACAGGTAGATCTGTGCCTGAGCTTGCTTTCTCAGGCTGTGGGGTGAGGGACAAGTGTGGGGGGAATGACAGCAGAGAGATGGAGGCTGCAGCTGTAAACCATGTGAGCTAGTGGGGCCTGAACTGGGCTGAGGCTGGAAAGATGGGAGGCAGAAGGTGGTGCAGCCCAGGAGCTCAGAATGGCCTTTGGGTTCAGGAGGACTTGAGTTCCAATTCTGCCTCAGGTACTTAGTGTTTGCAAAACCTGGGATAGATCACTTAGTCATGGAGCCTCAATTTCTTTACCCACAGAGAGTAACCTTGATCCTCTTCAGGAATCACTGTAAAGTACTCTGCACAGGGCCTGGCTCAATTCACACTGTGAGTGATAGTTACTGCTTACAGTCACACTGTAAGTGGCGAGGCTGGGATTAGTCCCTGAGTCTAACCATGCTGCACTGCCTACCTCCCTCTTTCAGCCATGGAGATCATTAGATATGAGATCATTAGGAGTTGGAGTTGGCAGGTTTGGTTGGTGGCTAGACATGACCTTCTGATCCCAAATGGCTTATCCTGGCTTCATGCTTGGGGGGGGTGCACAAGCTAGCTACCTTCACTCTGGGGCTCAGCCTCCCAAGCAGCCACAGGTCTAGGCTACTGTTCTAGAATCACTGCTGGGTGTGTGTGTGTGTATACACTTGCATGTGTGCAGGAATGGGAGTGCCAGAGAAAATCCTGTTCTGACCTTCTTCTGATGAGCTAGGTAGCTGTCGGCTGCAGGGGACTGGTCATCCTTTGGGCTAGGAGTCACGAGGTCTGCATTGTAATCCTTGTTCAGCCGTGAACTACTCATGAGCCCTAAGAATCACTCTGTCTCTGGGACTCAATTTCCCCTAAAAATGTCCTATAACATGTGATTGCATAGATGGTGGCAGTCTTCCAGGCTCTGAGTTCTGAGATGCTGCAGCTGCCAAAGCCAAGCTATAGCGTGTCCTGGATGGAAGGAGGCCTTGGAGGGGGTTGGGAGCCTGTACCTCCCTGATGTTGGCCCTTGGTATGAGTGCACACTCCCCAAAGCCCCTGCCCCATTGAGTCCAGTTCACTCCTCAGCCTGGGAGGACTCTGGGCAGGATGAACCCCACCACCCCACCAGAATCTGCCCCCACCATGACGGTCCCCCTAACACCTCTCCCTTGTCTTTTTCATCTCCAGTCTCCCACCGGCAGAGCAGGAATAAACTTTCCAGGCTAAGTTAGATGGATGGTGCCCCTTAGCCTGGTGGGCTGCCCCCCTCATCTCCACACCAGCTCCCCTGTCAAGGGAGGTGTCTGTGTGGTTGGGGAGGGAGGAGGCACAAGCATTTGGGTGGGGGTTGGGGGTCCCCTGCCCCTAGAGTAGGAATGGTGCCCCCGGGGAAGAAGCCAGCAGGAGAGGCCTCCAACTCCAACAAGAAGTGCAAGCGTTACTTCAATGAGCACTGGAAGGAGGAGTTTCCCTGGCTGGACTTTGACTATGAGCGGAAGCTGATGTTTTGCCTCGAGTGTCGCCAGGCCCTGGTACGAAACAAGCACGGCAAAGCGGAGAACGCCTTCACCGTGGGCACTGACAACTTCCAGCGTCACGCCCTGCTGCGCCACGTCACCTCGGGGGCCCACCGCCAGGCTCTGACAGTCAACCAGGGCCAGCCCACTTTCGAGGGCCCTGCTGAGGGAGGTGGGGCCTACAGCAGCCTGGCTGCCACCCCCACCTCCAGGGATGTCAAAGTAGAGGTGGACTCTGCCAAAGTGGCGGTGCTGACCACTGTGTACTGCCTGGCCAAGGAGGATGTGCCCGAAGACCGCTGTTCTGCCCTGCTCGAGCTGCAGAGATTCAACCTGTGCCAAGCGCTGCTAGGCACAGAGCATGGCAATTACTACAGCCCCAGGAGAGTGAGGGACATGCAGGTGGGTGGCAGTCAGAGGGTCTGGGAGTGGGAGGGAGGACACTGAGCCATTTGGGAGCAGCCCCAGCATGCTAGGCCCTTGTGGAACAGCCAGGCACTTCACTCCTGTCTCCACCCTTCAGAAGCTTCACTGGGGCCTATCACAGGCTGGCACTGGGCCAGCAGTGGGTACAAGAGTGAGAGGCCAGGCTGGCCTTGCACACGGGGCACTCCTCTCACTAGCTAGCCAGAGGAGGCAACCTGGCAGCCTGGGGGCTTGATTGGCCCATAGATGGGTTTTATTGGTTTTCAACTTTTGGGGGTGGGGGTACTGGTGATTGAACCCAGGGGCACTTGACCACTGAGCCACATCTCTAACCCTTTTTATTTATTTATTTACTTATTTACTTTTGAGACAGGGTCTCCCTAAATTGCTTAGGGCCTTGCTAAGCTCCAGAGGCTGGCTTTGAACTTGATATCCTCCTGCCTTTGCCTCCCAAATCACTAGGATTACAGGAGTGGGTCACTATATCCAGCTCACCCTGTTTAAAAAAAAAAAAAAAAGTGTTAGTTTTTAACTTAAAACATCCAGGAGATGAATGTAAAGATCTAGATCTGTGGCTTCTACTAAAAAGTGAAGTCCCCATGCTCTCAGGGCAAGGTATGGGCTTGCCATCATTTCCCCTTACCCTTTGGCTTGCCCCTGGCCCACTTCAAGCTCAAACTCACTCACATGGCCCCTGGAGGCTTACAAGTTGCAGCTGTGTCCTAGGTTCAGCTGTGTGAATCCTGGGGGGCTGGCTTGGGAGTAGGTGAGTTGCATATCATCTTATAGAAAGATGGCGAACAGCACCCAGCTGGCACTCTATGTAAAGTCAGGAGTTGTTAGTGAACGTGTCTGTTGCTAATGTCTGAGCTGAACAGTGGAAGGAGACTCCCAGGAATAAGGTAGACTGGGACCATGTGCAGAAAAACAAAAGGAAAAAAACTAGCCTTCTTAGAGTGCTTTATAGATCATAAAGAACTTTTAAATTTATGAGACCAATAATGAAAATTTACATTTTTAAGTCATGAAAACCCTTTATAAAGACTGGGGGCAGATATTAGCTGAGACCAAGTATTACAGCTGAGAAGACTGAATTTCAGAGTGGTGAAGGGACTTTCCCAAGGTAGCACACAATGAGTGAGTGGCAAGGCCAAGATTAGTCCCTAAGTCTGTCTGACTCCAAGAACTGTGCTCTTTCCACCACCCTGCACTGCCTACCTCCCTTTCGGGACAAGCCTAATTGTCCTCCCTCCCTTTCTCTCCCTGGCTGTCCCAGGTGGCCATTGCCAGTGTCTTGCACACAGAGGCCTGCCAGCGCCTGAAGGCATCCCCATTTGTGGGGCTGGTGTTAGACGAGACCAGGGACTGGCCTGAATCCCACAGTCTAGCCCTGTTTGCCACTTCGGTATCCCCATGTGATGGCCAGCCTTCTACCACCTTCCTGGGTAGTGTGGAACTACAGGAGGGCAGGGCCACTGCTAGTCAGCTCTTGGACATCCTGCAGGCCTTCGGAGTATCTGCACCCAAGCTAGCCTGGCTCAGCTCAACCGTCCCCAGTGACCGCCTAGGGAGTGTCAGCCTGCAGCTCCAGGCTACCTGCCCACTGCTCACCGAACTGCACTGCCTCCCTGGCAGGACAGATCCTGAACCCCCTGCCTACCTGAGTGAATATGAGAGCATACTGGATGCCCTATTCCGCCTGCACGGTGGCCCCAGTTCTCACATGGTCCCTGAGCTCCGGGCAGCCCTGGACCTTGCAGCAATTGACTTGGCAGGACCAAGGCCAGTGCCCTGGGCCTCCCTTTTGCCTGTTGTGGAAGCAGTGGCAGAGGCCTGGCCTTGCCTGGTGTCCACCCTGGAAGCCGCAGCCCCAGCCTCACCGACAGCTGCAGCCCTGGCTCTGGCCCTGCGCCAGTTCACCTTCGTAGCCTTCACCCACCTGCTGCTGGACGCTCTGCCCTCGGTGCAGAAGCTTACCCTCATCCTGCAGCCGGAAGAGCCCGACCTGGCCTTGTTGCAGCCCATGGTGATGGCGGCAGCAGCTTCCCTCCAAGCCCAGCGCTGCTCAGGGGGAGCCCGCCTCCAGGGTTTCCTGCGAGAACTGGCACTCTCAGACCCCGACCGGGGCGGTGGGCGCTGCGCCTACCGCAGCCTGGAGCTGGTCGGCTACTCAGAGGCCGCGATCAGGGACTTGGAGCGGCTGCGGGGAGCCTTTCTGGACTCCATGCAGAGGGGGCTGCGGGACTCCTATCCCGGGCCCTCGCTGGACGCCGTGGCTGCCTTTGCGGCGATCTTTGACCCCCGCCGCTATCCGCAGGCCCCGGAAGAGTTGGGTGCGCACGGCGAGGGGGCGCTGCGGGTGCTGCTGCGCGGCTTCGCGCCCGCGGTGGTGCGCCAGCGCGCGCTGGGCGACTTCGCTCTCTTCAAGCGCGTGGTGTTCAGCCTGGGGCGGCTCAGCCCGCGGGCGCTGTGCACCAAGCTGGCTTGCGAGAACTCGGAGCTGCACGAGCTCTTTCCCGACTTCGCTGCCCTGGCCGCTTTGGCTTTATCTCTGCCCGCGGGCGCCGGCCTCCTGGACAAGGTCGGCCGCAGTCGCGAGCTGCGATGGTGGGGACAGAGCGCGACCGGGGAAGGCCGGGGAGGCCACGTGGTGAAGATCGCCGTGGACGGGCCCCCGCTGCATGAGTTTGACTTTGCGCTGGCGGCGGAGTTCTTAGAGTGGATGGGGGGAGGGGCTCCTGGGATCCCAGCTCACCTGAGGATGGCTTCCTCATTGCCCCTTCAGCCTGCAGCCCTGGATGCTCCAAGGGCCAAGCCAGACTTGACTATGCTGCAACCAAGCTGACCTACTAACTGTGGTCTACCTAGCTAACCCTCTACCCCTGCTGAGCTCCTAACCCTGGGGGCTGCATGGGAAGAGGGGCCTGAGCAAGTGGACAGAGAGGCTAGCTACGTAAGGTCAGGGCATCGGAACCCCCCATTCCCACCTCCTCCCTTTCCAGAATTTGGTGAGAAGTAACTTACCCTTTCCCTTTCTGGACCCCACGCACATTTGGCCCTAGAAAAGTTGGGGGTTCTTGGTTGGAGGAAGGAAAACTGGGTCTTGGAAATTGAGGGAACGAATTGGTCTTTGTTTCCTAGCCCAACACTCAACAGTATTTCTTCTTTTTAGGTAAGACAGGAGAGCAGATGACTGTGCTTACTTTTTGGGGTGCTGTGGATGGAACTCAGGTCCTCATGCACACTAGGCAGTTGCTCTACTATTGAACTACCCCCCAAGCCCCGTGTTTGTTTTTACAGATTTTTTTAAAAATTAAAAACTTTTTTTTTTTTTTTTTTTGAGATGGAGGTTTTTGCCATGTTTTTCAGGTTGGCCTCAGTCTCATTAGACCATGTTCTTTCTTGACACACAGCACAGCATACTCTGCATGTGCTCATGGTTCAAGGGCACAATGGATCATGGAGATTGTGGTGTCCTTTCTCCCCTCCCTGCCAGTAGGCTGCCTGAGGGCCTTTCTGTATATGACCATGTATATAGACATACAAATCTACAGATGTGAAATAAATCTATCCTTTCATAGTGTTAACACATAAAAATCAAAAAGACTTCTTTTGGTTGTGCAATGACAGGGTCTAAAAAAGTCCCAAATGGACTGGATTTCTTTCTTTTATATACCTCGCCCCACACCCCTGGACTGGATTTATTTCTAATTTACTTAAAATCTGGTTGTTCAAATTCCTAGCTCTCTTTTGCCCTTGCCTCAGACCTTTAAGACCAAAGATTGCAGACCATGGTGCTGCTGTACCTGCTGCCCCTAAGGGCTGGCCTCTGGCCTGACCCAGGATGCTTAGGGTTTTTATTTTACTTTTTGCCTCCAGGGAAATGTTGTTGGGACCTCACCAGGGCTGAGGAGCACAACCCTTAGACTGATGGATTTTCCATTCCCTTTTGTCAGCCCTTCCTGTGAATGGTGTGGGATATGGATAGAGGGAGGGGACAGCTAGAGAGTGAGAGGGAAGGGGGCTGACCTTTTCCCAAGCCCCCTGAATTTGGGCTTCATTTGCAATAAAGTGGAAACCCAGCACATTTTGCAGTCTTCATGGTGGTATGTATGTCAGGGGCCAGCCCTATCTCTTCTGTCCCCTGCCTTGACTGACCTCCCCTGGGGAGTGCATTTGGACCATTATGTTGCTTCTGTCTATGAGTGTGGGAGGGTCATCCTTCTGGGCTGGGAACCCTCAGCTGTGGACTTCCTGCCTCTGCTTGCCCACCTGTGAGAGCCCACCAATGGGGCCTATGATTTCTGTCTGCTTGGCTGATGCTACTTTGTGAAGAAACAGGAGTTTCTGCCCTGGCTCCACACCCAAGACCATCGGCCTTTTGTTCTGGCTACAGAGGTAGGAAAGAGCCCTGTGGTTCCCCATTTCAGACCCTGCCCTTCTTCCTCCTGCAGCAGGCCCAGCCTCCAGTGCCCCCAGCCCCCTGCTGGCCTCCTTGCCCCTGCCCACTCGGCCTCTGCAGCCCCCGCTGGACTTCAAGCACTTGCTCGCCTTCCACTTCAATGGCACCGCCCCGCTCAGTCTCTTCCCCAACTTCAGCACGGTACGGGTTGGGTTGGCGGGTGGGTGAGTGTGGCCAGCTGGGGAGGTGGGCAGGGAGGGTGGCTCAGAGGTCAGCCTCAGCCTCTGGGTCTAACCAGGAGCTCATTTTCCTGCAACATCCCCTACAGTGGTTAGGAGCCCCCTGAATAGGGACCCCTGGGCTCAGTAGAGGTTAGGGAACAAGATGGTGTCTCCCCTATCTTGCCATCACTACTGCCCAGAGATGGTAGGTCTCCCTTGAGTTTTTGGTGCAGCGCCTGTGGATAAGCCACGTGTCTCTGTGCAGTCAGTGTGCTTTTCTATTGTAGTTTGTGTCTTTGTAGATCTTTGTGTGTTGTGTGTGGATGGAGTGTGTATGTTGGTGTCCTGTGTGTGTGTGAGCAACTCTTTGTGCCTGGGTAATTGTGATTAATGTGTATGCCTGTGTATCTGAACGGTTCTAATTCCATCTCAGTCACCCTTAGGAGCCTCCTTCCTCCTGCTCTCCAGGGTGGTACAGAGATCCTAAGGAGTCAAGGACTTTTGGAGACAGGCCTCTGGACCAGACTCCTCACTGTACCTCACTGACCTGCTCATTGACTCTTAAGGGTGGCCACAATCATTGTTGTCCTCCTTGCTGAGAGCCCTGTAGGCCATTTCCTCTGAGGTCTCATCCCCACCCAGCTCTCTCAAATCCTCTGTGTTCTTCCTGTGGGAAGGTTTGGAAAGTTCCTCTTGACAAAACCAGAGAACTTCTGCTTTTGGTCAAATAACTAAGCTCCTGAGAAAAAGAAACATAAAAGCTTGGTTTAGTAGAGGAAAAAAATTATTTAAAATAAGCAAAATAAAGAAAACACCTAGGTTAATATTCCAAGGAAATGAGACTGCTCTGGGAACCCTCAGGCCTCCAGTTGCTTCTCTCCCTGGTCACCACCTTTCTGGCCATAGTTTTCAGAATCCTGACAAGCTATCAGAGCCTTAGGCCTAGTTGCAGGTAGAACTGATAAGACAGGACTAGTCCCTGGTGGTGCATGCCTGTAATCCAAGGGTCTCCTGGAGGCTGAGGCAGGAGGAGCCCAAGTTTATGGCCAGCCTGGGCAACTTAGCAAGATCCTGTCTCAAAATAAAAAATAAAAAGGGTTAGGAATGTAGCTCAGTGGTAGAGTGCCCTTGGGTTCAGTCTCCCAAACTGCCAAAACAAAAGTAGGGCTCATCTTCCCAGGTCCGAGCACACAGGCTGGGTTAGAGGAGGGGAAATCCCAACAGGAGGATTCTTTGTCCCTTCCCTGCCTCTTCCTGCCCCCAATTCTTCTTTTTTTTTTTAATTATTTTTAAAAAATTTATATATGACAGCAGAATGCATTATAATTCATATTATACATGTAGAGTACAATTTTTCATATCTCTGGTTGTATACAAAGTATATTCACACCAACTCGTGTCTTCATACGTGTATTTTGGATAATAATGATCATCACATTCCTCCATCATTTCTAACCCCATGCCACCTCCCTTCCCCTCCCACCCCTCTGCCCTATCTAGAGTTCGCCCATTCCTCCCAGGCTCCCCCTCCCTACCCTACTATGAATCAGCCTCCTTCTGTACCCAATTCTTTGTCCCAATAGTTGTAATTCTTGTAAAACAACAAAACAGAGACTAAAGGGACAATAAGAGATGTCAAGATGTTCACTAGCCCATGGTTCTACTTCTCAAAATCATTGGGTTACCCTGGCCATCCCCCTGCCTCCAAACAAGTCCAGGCTGACAAGTAAGTCAGCCAGGGAAGAGGCTATCTCTTGTCTAACATCCACAGGATAGGAAAGTTCTTCCTAGAGGCTGACTTCTCAGTGGTCTTTAGTTTTCTGCATTTGGTACTGTCCTTCCTGAATCAACCCCAGAGTTACTGTGCCCTCCCATCCCCCTCACAGATGGACCCAGTCCAGAAAGCTGTCATCAGCCACACATTTGGGGTCCCCTCCCCTCTGAAGAAGAAGCTCTTCATTTCCTGTAACATCTGTCACCTGAGGTTCAACTCAGCGGTGAGAGGGATTCATGGGAACTCCTGGGAGGGGGCTGGGCAATGAGGGGGCTGGAGACTGGGTTTCCTTCTAGGGTCCTTCCAGAGCTCAGAGGCTGTGGTCCTTATTTTCGAGCCCTGGTTGCAGAAGAGACAGTTCTGATACTTCAACTGTCCCATCCTCTCCTCTCTCCTGCCTCTTTCCATAACCCTCTTCTGCCTACCTCTAGACGACTGGGATTCCATCTACCCCCCCTTTGCAACTCTCCTATGTTCTGGATCCTTCTGCAAGAGAGAAGACTGCCCTTACCCACTCTGGGTCCCAGGGGCTCCCCTGTAAGCTCCTGGTCTGGAGCTGAGGTGTTAAAGCACCTCAGAGTTTACAGAATGTGTCATTCCCATCATCTTGACGGGTTCTAATGATACAGCTGTGAAAGAAATAGAGGCACTATTATCATCCACACTTTTCAGATGAGGAAACTGAGCTAGAGAGGTTAAGTGACTTGCCTGAGGCCACACAGCTGGTAAATAGCAAACCCAGGCCTAGCCAACCCCAAGGCTGCATACTTTCTACTATAGCCTACCCCTGGGGAGAGCAGGGGCCTCATTTTGGCCTCCTCAGAAAGGTTTACCTCCTGTCCAGGCAATGCTGGTGTTTAGGTTGGATGTCAGAACTGCTGTCGTGCAAGAGTCCGTGGGGCGCTGAGAAGGCCTCTTTCTCACCTTTGAGGGAGGTGGGCTGGGAGCAATAAGCAGGGATCCCTGGCTGAAGCAGAGAAGACACTGACAGCCCAGATTTGAGGGTCCCTCCAGTCTATCAGGTCATATGAGGCCTTCCAAGAGATGGACAGAGAACTTGCTCTGAGGGAGGGACCGTGTCTTCCTCACACTTCTCCCTGGCACAGTGCCTGACAAAGAGCAAATGATAAATAGCAACCATGTGGTGAAAACATGAACAAAGGAGTGAATGTTTCAGGGCACATGACCCCCACATATGATGACTACCCTGTTGTCTTCATGTGTGCATCTAGAAACTTTTTTTGGGGTGCTAGTGTTCAAACCCAGAGCCTCGTGCACGGTATGATGCACATTTCCCCACTTTTTAAAAAAATTTGAGACAGGGTCTCACTAGTTGCCCATGCTGACCTCCAACTCTCGATCCTCCTACCTCAGTCTCCTAAGTGGCTTGGATTACAGGTGTGTACCATCACATCCAGCTGTCATCTATAAACTTGATAATGAACATTTACTGAGCAGCAACTGTATGTACTAGGCCCTGTGAGGTTGGCTTTATCATCACAAAGTTTATGAGTGAGGAGACTCAGGCTCAGAGAGACGATGTGACTTGCTCAAAGATGAATAGCTCTTAAGTGGTTGAGTCAGAATTTGAAGGTAGAGGCCACTTGCCTTGGAGCTCCTGTGTGAAAAACATTCTGTAAACATCAGGGTCATCTATGTGCTGTGATGTAATGACAAGAGTGCACTTCGTGTGACCTGAACCCTGCATCCCTTTAACGTGTCCCTCTGCTCAGCTTCAGTCATGGGTGGGGCATGTGGACCAGGCAAGAAATTTTGACCCCAGGCCCTCCCCTCTCCAGAACCAGGCTGAAGCACATTATAAAGGCCACAAACATGCCAGAAAACTCAAGGCTGTTGAAGCTGCTAAGAGCAAGCAGAGGCCACAAAGCCTGACACAGGATGCCGGAGTGGTGTCCCCAACCCCAACTCTGGCCAGTGGAGCACCTGGAGATCTACAGAACAAAGGTCAGTCCTGAACTCTTCTCTTCCTGCCCTAACTCCAGATCTAGCTTCTGACCAGAGTTTCAGAGATTTCTGCGGCTTATTATCTCTCTTGTGTTGGAGTATTCCGTACACAGAGTCTAAGGCACATGGGCTGCAGCCTGGTGAACTTCCCATCTGAGCATACTTAGCTCAGGAAACATGTGACCAGATCCCCAGGAGCCTGCCTTAGGCCCCCTCCTGGTCACCATCTTTCTGTATTAGTTCCAGGGCCACTGTAACAAATGACTACAAATTGGGTGGCTGAAAACAGTAGCAATTTATTTTCCCACATCTCTAGAGGCCAGAAGTCCAAAATTCAGGTGTTGGTTCCTTTACGCAGGCTCAGAGGGAGAACTGTTCTCTGTCTCTTCTGTTTGTTGCCGGCAGTCCTTGGCCCCTAGACTCATCACTCCAGTCTCCAGTCTCTGCCTGTCTTTACATCACGTTGCCTCCCATGTCTCTGTGTCTTCTCACGTGATCTTCTTATAAGGTCAACAGTCATTGGATAAGTCCCACCCTAATCCAGCATGACCTCATCTTAACTAATTATATCTGCAAAGACTATTTTCTTTTTTTTTAATATTTATTTTTTAGTTTTCGGCAGACACAACATCTTTGTTTGTATGTGGTGCTAAGGATCGAACCTGGGCCGCACGCACGCCAGGCGAGCGCGCTACCGCTTGAGCCACATCCCCAGCCCTGCAAAGACTATTTTCAGATAAGACCATACAGATATGAATTTTTTGGGAAACTGTTCAATCAGCTATACCCCACCCCCAACTCTGGAGTAACTCTGATCTTGGCTTTTCTCATCATAAATTAGTTTCACCTGGTTTGGGTGGATCATACCAGTACACAGGTTTGTGTGTCTGACTTGCTTTTGTTCATCTCATGAACATTCACCAACATTCATCATGTCTATAAGGTGTTGTGTGTAGGTGTATTTTCTTTTTCTTCATTACATAGTACTCCACTGCATGAATATATCACAATCCTTCTGTTTGATGGACACCTGGATAGTTTCCAGTTTTATGCTATTATGAATAATGCTCAATGAACATTCTAGCACATCTTTCTGGTGACTTCTGTTTAACATTAGCAAATCAATATTGAGTATCAGGGTTGTGCGGCTTCCTAAGACCACTCTGTTCAACTTTCTGATTTCAGATGAGGAAACTGAGGCCCAGGTCTGGCTAGTGAATTGGTGGTAGAGTGGGGCCTGGAATTCAGTGCTGGTCATCCCTGCACCAGGGACCCTTCCACCCTACCCTACCATCTTCATTGTTAGTGCTAAGAATCGTGGGCTGGAGAATCATCTTGGATCTCTACTCTCACCCATGCCTCCCTTCTCCCCAGCAGTTCCTGCAGGCCCTCCACTCCAGCAGCAGTTGACCCCGGACCCCCCATCCAGGGAACCAGCCCCCTCAGACCTTTTGGATGCTGCCTCCTCTTCTTCTTCCTCCTCCTGCCCACCCTGCTCCCCAGAGCCTGGCAGAGAGGCACCAGGGCCTGAGCCAGTGGCGGCAGCTGTGGGAAGTGGAGTGAGTGGGGAAGGCAGGAGCGAAAAGGGGCGCCTCTACTGTCCCACATGTAAGGTGACAGTGAACTCGACCTCCCAGCTTCAAGCTCACAACACAGGTCAGTGCCCCCAAGGAGCTGGAGTTGAGGGAGGCTGGAAGGCTGAGCCTCACCAGGTGTGGGCAGGCTTGAGCTCCTGGGCACTTTCTTCCAGCTCCGGGTGACAAAAGTACTATGCTCAGCTGTTACTGGGCAGGCATTTCTGGGTCCTCCTGCTAATCCCTGGGGAGGGAGAACTGGGAAGAGAAGTCTGAGGCAGCAAGAATTGAAGGTCACATCTCTGATGTTACTCCAGTCTCCAGAAAACAGGAGGCACCTCCTCCCATTTCCTCCATCTCTCCTTAGAACAGATCAGGAGGGAAATGAAGATATTGTGTCTACCTATAACTGAAAGTAAATAAATATTAAAAAAAAAAAAAAGATCAGGAGGGGTTGGGATCAGAGCAGAAGGGAACCTGACCAGTTGCCCACAAAGCTTTCTTTGGGGGAGCCTGGCACGAAGCTAGAGATACCAAGAGGTGAAGTCTAGGAGGTTGGAGGGCAAAGTGTGTTCTGAGTAGCCTGGAGGCTTCAAGGGACAGCCCAGCTAACCTGGTTTGGAGGGGGTCCCCGTGGTCCTTGAGACCCCCTGTGGTACTGACAGACTGTCTTCTTCCTTATTTCCTCCAGGAGCCAAGCACCGGTGGATGGTGGAAGGTCAACGAGGGACTCCCCGAAAGGGCCGGGGCCGCCCAGTATCCCGGGGAGGGGCTGGACACAAGGCCAAGAGAGTGACAGGGGGTCAGGGTGGCCGGCAGGGCCCCAGCCCCCCTTTCCACTGTGCTCTCTGTCAGCTCCAGGTCAATTCAGAGACCCAGCTCAAGCAGGTGGGAGAAAGGAGTCCTTGACTGGGGGTGGAGCTGGTGAGAGGGTGGGCAAGCAAGGCAGGAGGGCACCCGCAGAAGCGGGCAGAGTCGCAGGGAGGGCTAAGGAGCTGGAGTGGGCTCCTTGACGCCAAGCCTGCCTCGCTCCCAGGGCCACCTTGGCGAGTTCCCAGTACCTGTGTATTCAAAGTGTGGTTGCGGGTAGTGGAAGGTCAGGCAGTCGAAGGTAATGGAGTAGTTTTGGGGCCCTTGGGCTTCCTTATTTTGTTCACTGTCTTTGCATCTGTCCACTAGCACATGAGCAGCAGGAGGCATAAAGACCGCTTGGCTGGGAAGCCCCCAAAGCCCTCCAGCCAGCACAGCAAGCTGCAGAAGCACGCAGCGCTGGCTGTGAGTATCCTCAAGGTATCTGTCTCCAGGCAACAGAGCTGGGACCTGGGTCAGGAGGGAGAGAGTGGGTGGAAGGGAGGGCCAGCTGGGGGGCTTGGTGGTATGGCAGGAAGGAGGCCACCTCGCTCTGAGGCTGTCTGAGCAGGGGGAGAGCTAGGGTTGGGCTTTGGCCACCCAGGGATCTGCCCACAGGAATTTCCGGGGAGGTGGGCTGGGATTGTAATCTTTGGGGCAAGAGGGGTGGGCGTGCATCTCCTAGAGACCATCTCTACCCCATCCCCCACAGCCTCCTCCCTTCTCCCATCCTGGGGTTGTCCTCCCTCTGGGCAGGAAGACAGGTGGTGGAGAAAGCTCTTTGGAATGACTATTTGGGAGTGGGAAGGGAGGAGGATTTAGGTTTGGAACTCTAAAAAGCACGCTCCATGAGGCAAAAAGCCTGCAAAATGGGGCCCAGACAGGGGGTGAGCTCTTTGGGGGTCAGAGGCCTGTCACTCCTCTCTTGTTTTTTTGTAGTCTAAACTGGCCTTGCAGAAGCAACTCACCAAGACGCTGGCAGCCCGCTTCCTGCCCAGCCCACTGCCCACTGCTGCCGCTGCCATCTGTACCCTGCCAGGACCCCTGGCCCTCCGGCCTGCCCCCACAGCAGCCGCTACCCTCTTCCCAGCTCCCATCCTGGGCCCAGCTCTGTTTCGCACTCCAGCAGGAGCCATCCGCCCTGCCACGGGACCCATTGTCTTTGCTCCCTATTAGCCCTACTGAAGAGGCCAAGGCTGATTCCCAAACAGCCACTTACTGTCTCCCCCAAGACACCTCAGTTTCCTGCATCCCACAGGACTGCCTTTTACAACTTGGGGGAGGGGGGTCCTGCCCAGTCTAGGAAGAACTGGGCTAGTTAAGGGCAGCTACCTTTGCTTCATCTGGACTGGGATTCACCAGGTGTCCGTCCAGCCCTCACCCTCCTTTTCAGGTCCTTCCGAGGCTAGTCCTAGGCTCGCCTGCATTTCCCAGCCTGATAAATCCCAAAGATCTATGCAGAACCCCAGCCTCGTGGTGCTGTCATTTCCCTGAGACCTACACCCACATGGCCAGGCTCTGGACATCTGAGCTCCCATAACAGCCTCACCTGGCCTGCGGACAAGTCTATGACCTCTACCCCATGCTCTGGAGAAATCGCTGGAAATAGGGATGGGGTCTCAAGCTGGAGAGTTCAAGGCTTTCATGACAAGGTGACCCTGGGATGTGGTGGAGAACCACAGAGGAGAAAGAAGTCCAAATACTCTGGATCAAGCAGTGCTAGGGTGGAGTAGAGCCAGGACAGGCCCACCTGCTTTCAGATGAGGCTAGGATAAGAATAGGTCAAGGTGGTATTGTGTGTCCAGACTCAAGTGAGCCATCACATACAGCTTTCCCTTCTGACTTCTGGACCCCAGCTCTGGGGGACACTGGGTCCCCCTTAGACTATGGATTCAGCTAACACCAAATCTGCCCCCCCCCCCACCCCCAGGGCTCTGACATGAATAGTTCCCCACCCCAGACTGGTCCTCAGCACTAAGTTCAGCTTTCCTTCTTCCCAAGCACCCCTCCTGATGTAAAGCTGAATGCTGGGATGTAGTCCGATACTCTCACAGACCCACTTCTGTGCTGCCAGTCAGTGTCAAATCCTATCCACCCGACCCCAGCACTGTCCCCTCATCCCACAATACGGGACTTTGCCAGTGTCCACCTGTATCTTTTTTTGAAAGATATTTCCAATGGGAGAACAAGAAAAAAAGGGGAGGGGAGGAAACTTTTTGATAATAGCAATTGTGGTTTTATTGTGTCCAACATATCAATAAATGAACTTTGAGCCTGAGCCTGTAGATGCCCTCTCCTTGCCCAACCCTAGACACCTGCCCCTGCTTACCTCTCCCATTCTGGGGAGAAGGGGCATGTACTGGAGGTCACCTGGCTAGTGTCTCACCTGTTAAGTGTGCACACCAGAAGCATGAAGAGGGCATTGGAAGGTTGGAGGTTTTAAGCTCACTTGATAGCACATCTGCGTGAGTAGCTATCCTTCAGAGCCCCAATGGAAGACCTGGGAGCTCCTAGGAAGCTGCTAGTGATTTGCCTGGTTCTGTTCAGACATCTGAGGTAAGAAGGGCTAGAGAAGCACCTTGTCCGGCTTTCACCATGGCAGCAAGCATATAAATATAGGTGATATAAATAGTTCAGCTACTAGCTGAAAACAACCAGAGGAAGGGATGAAGACCAGCCCTCAAGGGCAGGTGGATAGATTGGGCACTGATTGGCCACTCTGGCAACTGAGAGTGGAGAGTGAACTCCTGCCCCCTGGTGGTTGGAGGAAGAGATGTGTCCAGCCTCCAGGGCTGGCAGGCATAGCACCTTGAAGAGGGAGAAGCAAGGGGGCCAGTCACAGGTGGCTCAAGCCTCTGGCTTTAGAAAGTCATCCAACTGGAAAGGATGTAGATCGTCTAAGCAACTCCTATCACTTACAGATGAGAAAACCAACACGTTGCTGGGTCAGCTTGTTGCTTAGCCCAGTCATCTCTCCATTCAACTTCAACCAAAGAGGCCCATCTGCTCTCCAAACAGGAAGAGGAAGTGAAATAATTGGGAGCAGGGAAAGAATTCATACAGAAAATGATACTCCTAGGTGACTAGCCTCTTCCAGCCAAGGATAGGCCAGGAAGAAGGTTAGGTGAGGGATGGAGCTTCTCCTAATGCTAACACAAGTAAGCACATGTACGCCACGCATACAATACCTGGATACCCATTCTCAAAGTCCAGGATAGTGCCTTAAGAGTGAGAGAGTGAGTGAGTGAGTGAGTGTGTGTGTGTGTCTGTTACTGGCAGGAAGCTCAGGAAGTTGGGACCCTATAATAGGACCCAAATCCTAAATTGGGCACTTTCAGTATGATAGCTCTATTTCCTGTCCAGGGCAGATAGAAGGGATGCTGACCCACAACTCTAGGCAACAGTGGAGATAAATCTGACGTAAGTTGGGAGGTAAGGAGGCAGAGTATGGGAAGAGGGCACTAGTCAAAATTATCTGCATTTCTTAAGAGTTCAGAGAGAGAAGTGGCATGGGCCTGAGATAGCCCAGATGCCTAGGCTAGTGGGGTGCTCCCTCTGCTGACTGGGAAGGACAGATTGCCTACATACACGCCCTACGCTTAGCCTATCCTCTAGAGTTCCAAAAGCTGGAACAGGGTTGGGAGGATGAAGAAGGAATGGTAGCTCTTCAGCCATCCAAGGAGCCACTGCCCTTGTTCTTGCGGCTGAGGGGGAAGGCAGACTTGCTCTGGGGCTGGGTCATTTTGCTGGCCAGGTAGACAAAGGGCTCCAGGAGGGAGCGGCGGTCAGCCACTGATACCTCCCACAGCTTCACCTTCTCTGACTTGGCCCAATGCTGAGCCACATCTGGGTCTACACGCCGCTGTTCCTGTAGGTCACACTTGTTGCCCAGGACCACAATGGTGACCTGGAAAGAGACAAAGAACAGAAGCCTGTGGGTATACACTAGATCAGGTGCAGTTGTTGGGCTGTCAGTTTCTGGAGAAACAACTGGTAAGAAGCATTCCCAGGCCTGCAGCTTAGAGGAAGGTTTTGGAGAATTAAAGTAAGAGCATGAAATTACCAAGAAGATTAGCAGGAGCTTCATGATTTAGGTCAGGGATTCCTTAGACAGAAGTTTCTTTGGTTAAGTTGTCTCAACAATACCCCTGGAGGTAACACCCTTCAGTGACTTTCTAGCTCATAACCTACCTCTTGGCAAATGAGTGAAAAATGGAGCCACGACAGGCCTCCTAAAGCCAGTCCAGGGCCCATCCTCTCCCACCACTGGGGTTTCCAACAGAAGCCTGGGCCACACACCTCCTTCTTATCCTTAGATTTGTCAATCTCCTTCTTGAGTAGCTCCACACGCTGAAAGGACTCTCGGCTATCTGTGCTGTAGACCAGGACGTAGCCATCCGTGCAGGAGAAGCAGTGCCGGGGCAGCTCAGCCCCATCTCGAAGCCCCCGGGTGTCGTAGAAACGCACCTGCTCCCGCACTCCGCGATCTGTCTCAATAGAGCCTACGTAGATATCTTCCTGGGTTTCAATCATCTCAGAACCTGGGATAAAATGAGAAGATCTGATGGGAAGGGAGATGGGAAATGTGAGTGATGATGACATTCTGGCAGGCTGACCAGACAGGGAGAGAAAGTAATGTGGGAACTAAGGAGAGTCTGGCAAGACTGGAATGATTTGGGGGAACAGACATGTGTATCATACTAAGCAAAGTGTGACATAGGAGTTTTTCCTTCCTATCTTGGATATTGGGATTCTTCCCTCCAGATTTATTCAATGTTGTAGAACTAGGGATTATGATGTTAGTTTTTACCCTTCAGAATGCGAAAACCATTGGAGCAGCTTTTAGCCTTTGCGTGTTTTAATCAAATCCTCTTATTTTTCAACATCTTCCACCATTACCTAAGCCCCATCAACACTCACCCACTACATGGTTCCCATACAGGAGCTGTTCTAGGATTGAAGTTTTACCCACGGATGCCTGACCACACACGACCACCTTGCAGCTCTTCCCCATGCTTAACCTTCCACCTAGAGGAACAGAAGCACCCTGGGTGAGGTGAGGAAAGAGAGGTTCAAAACAGGGCAGACCTCCCAATAACCAAAAACCCAAGTTTGGAACTGAATGCAAAGCTTCTGGGAATCAGGACAGCCCTTACTCAGAAGACCTAGACTCAGACACCCTTTCTCCGAAGAGGCCCCAGAAGGAAACTTCCAAACACTGAATCCCCCAGGAGTTCCAAAGATTGCCCAAACAAACCTCTCCAGAGGAAGCTACTGACATAAACACCCTCCCACACAATGAGTCCTGCAATGAAGGGATACCCAAGAGAGACTGCCAGAGGGGTTTGTCTCCGCCAGAGATTTCCCCAGGTAGGAAGGCTTGCAAAGGGAAAAAGAGGCACAGATAGATCCCGTAAAGCGGCCGAAGGGCAGAGGGCATTATCCACGCAGGACGAACCCCGCCTCCCAGCTCCGTACCTCCTAGGGCTCCCGCAGAACCCCTACCCGGCCCCTCCCAGCTGGCAGAAAACAGGGCAGCCGCAGCACCGCCACAGACTTCCCTCTTCCGCGGGTGGAAGTAGACTTCGTGGGCTCCGCCCCCGTCCTCCAGCTTCCCCCGCAAGACGAGTTCCGGCGGAGGAGAGCTGGGCGCCGGCCGCACAGCGCCCCCAGCGGCCGGCGGGGGAATCCCAGAGAGGACTTGGCCTTGTAGTGCGGGGGCGTTCAAGGCTCTAGGCTCCTGAAGGTAGACTGCCTGTGCTCAAATGCTCTTTCTAAAGGCTGGCATTGTATAGTAACGCAGCGTTTACTCCATCATTTAATCGTCAGATGGTTTCTTTTTTCCTTTACGGTCAAGCGCTTTAACACTGAACCAGCCTTCATCAAATGTTTTCTGAGCACCTTCTAGGGGAGCTAGACCTCCAAACCAACAATTACAGTACATTATGGTGGGTACTGTTACAAAGGTGCCATGGAGGGCCCCCAAAAAGGGATATTTAACTTGGGGGCAGCAACATCAAGCAGAAATTCCAGGAAGAGGTCATGTCTGTGTAGAGGTTTGAAAGGCTTAGGGGGAAAGGGTACCCTAGTGATACCGCCAGTTATAGGTGGAGTTCTGCTTCCTCACATATTGAACTTTGAACATTAGAGAAGCATGCTGAGGCAAGCATATAAAGCAGGGTTTATTTAAAAAGGGGTAACAGAAGGTCTGGGGCTATGGCTCAGTGGTAGTGCACTTGCCTGGCATGTGTGAGGCACTGGGTTCAATTCTCAGCACTGCATATAAATAAATAAATAAAGGTCAATCAACAACTTTTTATACACACACACACACACATATGGTAACAGAGCTGGGCCCGGTGCCACATGCCTGTAATCCCAGCAACTTGGGAGGCTGAGGTAGGAGGATCATGAGTTCAAAGCCAGCCTCAGCAATGCTGTGGCACAAAGCAACTCAGTGAGACCATATCTGTAAGTTTAAAAAGGGGGGGGGGGGCCGCTGGGGATGTGGTTCAGTGGTCGGGTACCCCTGAGTTCAGTCCCCTGTACCAAAAAAAAAAAAACAGGGTTAACAGACTTCTCCTAGGAGGGAGAAGGTATCCCAAGAAGGGAGGCCTTCTGCCCTTTTTATATGTCCTAGACTTCCTTTGTTCTCCTGCTCTCTTCCTCTTATCTTTCTCCTTCCGGGTATGTGATGACTAAGCCCAGGAATGCTTGGTGGGGTAGCCAAAAGGTGGGAAACAGGTGGGCTGAAGGGGGAAGGGCAGGGTGGAGCAGCCAAGGACACATTAATTAACAATCTTATAGCTCCCTGGGATAAGTTACTATAGCAACAGGTTGGGGCAGGGGCAGGGGCAGATTCTTGATAAGGGTGGAGGAAGGGCTCTGAAGGAATTAACATTCAATCCCTCAGGGGACAGTCTCCAATTTCTCAGAATCACTCAAAATTGGCCTCCTTGATCTGACCTGACTCGATTTACCTATCTATACTGACTGCCTGTCTAATTCTGGCTTCACTAGGGGGGGCGAAAACATTGCAAGAGTCATGGCATTTTCTGGAACTACAAGCATTTGGGTTCAATATTGATGGTAGAAAGTAGCCATATAACCAAAAGGCTGTGTGGCAGGCTGTCAAAATGGGTAAAAGGTGTGACTTTTGCAGTCCAGGGGGAGAAATAAAGAATGTCCACGCACTTGTGCCCTAGTCAATGCTTTATTCACTCAAATCACTCAATACAATTTCACTCTATAGGTTCTTAATCGAGAAAACGACAACCCTTAATGTTAGACACTGCAACAACATAATCAATTCACAGCAAACAATTCTAGATTGATTCCCAGCAAACCATTCTAGATTAATTCTAAGCACTGCAAACACTTAATTATGACAGGCTAATGACAGACATTCCCTCTGCGTGTCAGATCAAAAGTCTCAAGCCTTAGGCTTTAAGTCCAGCAGATGCACACTCACTCAGATTGGAGTGATCAGGTCAGGAACCAAGGCAGGCTTCTCCTGAGGTGGAGCTGATGGCTGGTTGAGGAGAGGGTCATAGGGAGAAGTTGTGACTGTCACCAGGGTCAAGATGTGGCTATAGAGTTTAAGAGTGGTGAGGAAGATGCAGAGGATCAGCAACAATAAAAAGTGTTGGGATGCCAGTCCAGGTCCTCATCAGGCTCTCAGCGTGAGGGCATCAGTGTTGGCTGGCTGAATATCTGTTCATTTGCTCTGTTATTTATACCAAATTTGGAGCTTTTGTCCCCCTTTTAATCCTTACCAGCTGCCACCATTTCTCAGTGACATCATTTACTCTGGGGTTAAACCATCTGGTGTAGTGGATCCCACCCTGATCTTTTCGCCTTTCTCTCTTTTGGGGTGCTTTCCCCTGGGCAGGCATGAACAGCCTGCCAGAGGCTTCAATCTGAGTTTACCAGGGTGGGGAGAAGTGACTTGTTTGTGCCTGAGGGCCATACTGGTGGTCTCTCCATTAGGCATGCATGGTGAGACTGCAATTTTCAAACTGGAGTTTTTAAAATGGAGTTGCTTAGGCTCAGACCTTAGGCCATCCTCACATAGGCCAGAGATCAAACTCACAGCAGTGGAAAACCATTGATAGGTTTCAAACCAGTGAAATTTGATCAGTGTTTCCCTTTTCAGGTCACTTGTAGAACAGCCAAGACCAGAGAGAGATGAGATCAGGGAACAATTAGGGGACTACTGTAGTCTTCTCTGAGTGAAAAAAAGAAATGACAAGAGTCTGGATTGGAATGGGAAGAGGATATATAGATTTGGAAGATATTTGATAGGAGAATCAACAAGGCTTGGTAGTAAACTTGAAATCAAGAATGAGAAAAAAATGAGGAATTCATGATTTCCTCCATGTTTCCCACTTGGTGGCCAAGTAGTTGATTCCATTCAACAATATAGGGAATTCAGGAAAGAGAATCGAATACAACATTTGTTCTTTTTTGAGGGGTGGGGAGAGAATAAGTTCAATAAACATGTTAAGCCTTGGGAATTTGTGAAACATCCCAGACATATCTGGTAGGTAGTTGGATATACAGGTCTGGAACTCTGGGGAGAAAAAAAAAAGCCTATGTTGGAGATAGCATGAGTTGAGAATCAGATGAAATTAAAGCTGAGGGAGTAAATGTGTTGGCTCAGATATAGAGAACCGAAGTGGGAAATGGTCAAATACAGGCTAGCTTTAAGATTGTGAGCCACTAGCCATCAGGGCAAATGCTCTGTGAGTCTTGTGGCCTCCAAAGAGCACAGAGGAGGTATATAGGAAAGGGCTAAGCTACTGAATCATAGCTGGACAAATGACCTCTCCCATCCAAGCAACTGAGCTTCACCAGTCCTTTTCTACCCGGTGGCCCTGTGGTTTTGGCTCCCTCAGCACTATGACAGGCAGAGACGTTGGCACTGTTTTCCTTAAGTAAGGAGTTATTTTTTTTTTAATTTTTATTTTATAATTCTGGGTATCAAATCCGGGGCCTCATGTTTGGTAGGCAAGTGCTCTACCAGTTACTTCCCCAGCCCTAGATCTTAAAATTCCCATGTCCCCTTACTTTAATTCTTCCTTGCTTTAAATTATAACCTCAAACTCTCCTGATTTAACTGCAGAACGACCCAATTTAATTCAACTCCACAAATATTATTGGTTTAGGTAAGGAAAATACTACAAAGATGATTAAGCTGTGACATGCCCTCTGTGAATTCCCAGTCCACTCTGCATTCAGCCAGACAAGCGTGTTGAACAGAGTTTATGAGAGGTGGGAGTACTGGGGACACTGAGGAGCGGGGACCTCACCCCATGAGTTGCCTTATAAACTCCGGGGCAGGGTCTGGGGCGCCATGTCATGTCAGCCTCCTTAGGCTTAATGCTGAGATGGCACTCCCAAGCGGTTGACATGAAAGCAGCCTCATAAAAGGGTCAGCGTCATTAGGGTGATGAACCAGTTGGTGCTTGGAGATCCAGGGGGGATGAAAGGCGCGGGGTGAAGACGCCCTGCGTTCCCCGAGCTTGGTTGGGCAGGGCTTCCAGGGACCCAAGAAAGCTGGGGGAACTGGGCTCAAAGTATCTCTTCTTGTCTTCCCCGGAAAGAAGCTGTGGACACACTACAAGGTCGGGAAGGTAGTCCTGGGGGCTCTATCCCTACAATCTTGGGTGACCCAGGCCCCACTCAACTCATACTCCCCTGAGCCTTTACAGGAGACTCAGAAGGATTGCAAGTTGCTATGGCAACCAGACATTCGGAATACTGAGGAAAGCCTAGGCCTAGAGAGGCAACATCCTGCTTTCCTCCTTCCCTTACCACGGATAAAGTGGCGCCCCCAACGCACAGGAGCCGTCCCTGGGCCCCCGCCCCGGCGCGGAGACCAACGTGGACCTCCAGGGATGGGAGGCCGCTCTGGCCTCAAGCGGTGCCTCTCGTTGGTAGACGGGCCCGAGGGAGCCCCTCTGGGCGCGGCGCCGCTGAGCTGCTCGATGCTCCGGCCGGAAGTGCTCTTCACCGCCTGCCTCCCACCCGGCTCTCTGGTCCCGGCGGTAAGATGGCGGCTGCCGCGGAGTGCGATGTGGTAATGGCGGCGACCGAACCAGAGCTGCTCGACGACGAAGAAGCAAAAAGGTAATCGGATAGCAGGGTCAAGGAGGAGGCGAGCTGCAGCCCTCTGGCTCAGGGAAACCTGTCCCTGCCGTGATGCAGCCTGCAGATGTTGAGGCTATGCCCCGCCTTCTGCACCCCCCCCAATCTGAAATGAAGTCGGAATGGACCCCCTGAAGGGGCGCTCTCGGGGGTCAGCCTTTCCCTCCTGCTTCCGCCTGGCGGGGGAGCTAAGGCACGGCCAAGTTCTCCAGCGGAGAGGAAGGTCGTCCTTATGGTGGAGGCTGGGTCTCTGAGGGGGAGTCTCAGAGGTCTGTTGTCGGGTGGGGGAGGCGGCGCGGCGTAGATGACGACTTCCTTACATCCCCCGACCCCCGCCTTCTCTTGTTAACTTCTGTGCATTGTTGTCAACACTGTGTGTCTCTAAAGCCCTCGCTCTCCTTCTCACC